TGAGTAGGCAGATAGATAGATAGATAGATAGATAGATAGATAGATAGATAGATAGATAGATACTTTGTTTATCCCGAGGGAAATTCAAGTTCAATAGATGAACATTAGACCACAGACTCCCAGTTTTTGAGGGCTTTGTCTATTTTTTTATTTTTAGGTTTGAAGATGATAACGATCCCTTATTGTTCTGACTTCCAACAAATGTGATAAAAGTTCAAATACTCTGAACACAGCTGGCTCTTGATAGAGATCAAGAGCCAGTGTTTGGTTTGTCCACTCTGGGCTTCTGTAGAAACATGCTGGTTAAACATGGCCTCTGTAGATAAAAACGTCTTATTCTAAAGCAACAAAAACACAATGATTCTTATTTCCAGATGTTTATCCACTAATGAAAACATACCGATGAATATTATGTTCAATTTCTGCCGATAGATCCTCCTCAATGTGACACACTGGACCTTTAAGAGAACTGTTTCACTTTATGAAACCCGCAGCGTCTTTCGCCTGCAGTCATACTAGAATCAGTTGGCACCGATCGAGCAACAGGTGGCTGCCAGACTGCTGCCAAAAGAGTTGCTAGTTACAACATTACTGAGAATCAGCAGCTAGTAAAGCAAAAAAAACATTTGATTTCAAATGTGATATCTTATCGCTCCGTATCACAGTGTATGTTTGTAGCCAGACAGACACCTCCGCTGTATGTTAACCTGTAACATACATACAGTGTGTGTGTAAGTGTGAGAGCAGCGAGGCTGCGACTCGATGTGCGTACGTGCTGACAGGTGTTTATCCTCTGCGACAGGTGCGTCTGCTGATGGTAAGTCGGATGGCCAAACCGGAGGAGGTACTGGTGGTGGAGAATGACCAGGGCGAGGTGGTCAGAGAGTTCATGAAGGACACGGATTCCATCAACCTCTACAAGAACATGAGGGAAACCCTTGGTATGATTCAGTAACAGAAGCAGCAGAGCTTTTCTTGTTTTTTTTATTGATCACAACTACAGAGAGTGAGCATGGCGTCTAATTCGTGCATCCATCCAGTAACTTTTCCACTGATAACACCGCTTCCTGCATACTCAGGATTACTGTAATATTTAAACACTGTGGGACAGTCTGGCTCAGTTTCTGTGTGCAGTTTGCATGTTGTCGCCTTGTGTCTGCGTGGATTTCCTCCCACAGTCCAAAGACATACAGGTTAGAATGATTGGAAACTTATTATTTTAAACTAAAAATTAAGGACAACATGGTGGTGTGTGTACATTAAAGATGGAGCTGGAGTACGATAGTCTGAAGTAATTTTATTTATTTATATTGGACATTTTGACCTGACTTACTTTTGCATAAATTATGTATAATAAATAAATGTTAAGTTTGTTTCGTAAAAAGGGAAACAAATTCGTTTGATTACTAAGCTGGGATCTGGTCTTGTTTTTATCTGTATATTTATAATTCGGGCTTTAATTAAAGCAAAAGGTATGTCCGATTAATCGATAGAATACTAGATTACCAAAATATTCGATAGCTGCAGCTCTAGTTTATACTCTTGATGACGACGGTTATATTGGCTCATAAAATAAAAGCTGTAAAGTACCAACTGCTGGTAAAAGTGATGGATCTATTGATCAGTGTCAACACAGTGGCACTCACTCACAGTAGAGCTGCTTCCCTGCACATTGTGCACTTGCTGATAATCCAAACCTGCATCCCGCAGTGTACCTGACTCACCTGGACTACGCGGACACAGAACGCATTATGACGGAGAAGCTCCACAACCAGGTGAACGGTACCGAGTGGTCCTGGAAGAACCTCAACACGTTGTGCTGGGCCATCGGATCTATCAGCGGGGCCATGCACGAGGAGGACGAGAAGAGGTTCCTGGTCACCGTCATAAAGGTATGAAAACACACTGAACTCAGGACGAAGATGATACTTCTACCGAACTCTTACAGGCTTTTGAAAATGTTCAAATAATATGATTCAGATGATTCAGTGCTCCGTGTACCGAGGCTGAGTCCTTGCTGCAGTGACCTGTGGCCCATTTTACAATCTTAACAGGGTTTCCACGTGTTCTGGAAATTTAGAGACTACGTTTCCAGTCACGGAAACACATGGAAATGAATTAAAATGACTAAATATCCTGAAAATAATCTGTGTGGAAAAATCCCGTCAAGGGAGTGTCCCTTAGATGATGACCACCTATACCCTGGAAAATGTCCTGGAATGTGATTTCTTAAAACGAGGGAACCCTGCTTGAGCTGTCGTATCTAACAGCTAAAGGATTTACAGTTTATTGTATGAAACACTGAACACTGACCCCACGTTAATGTGTCTGATTGTGGAAAACCTTCTGTTTGTCTCAGGATCTGCTGGGTCTGTGCGAGCAGAAGAGAGGAAAGGACAACAAGGCCATCATCGCCTCCAACATCATGTATATTGTTGGCCAGTATCCACGCTTTCTCCGAGCCCACTGGAAGTTCCTCAAAACGGTGGTCAACAAACTGTTTGAGTTCATGCACGGTGAGAGATGTGTTCGATTTAAACTTGGATTCGTTTTGTTTTGTGAAGATGTAACTCAGTGTCTCCCTCCACGTCCCTCCTTCATCAGAGACCCACGATGGTGTTCAGGACATGGCGTGTGACACCTTCATCAAGATCGCCCAGAAGTGCCGGCGCCACTTCATCCAGGTGCAGGTGGGAGAGGTGATGCCCTTCATCGACGAGATCCTCAACAACATCAACACTATCATCTGTGACCTTCAACCTCAGCAGGTCAGCGGATGGATGTTATTACAGAGAGACAGTTCTGTTCACTCTTCCTCCTGCATACTAACACATTGTCCCGTCTGCGTCCAGGTGCACACGTTCTATGAGGCAGTAGGTTATATGATCGGGGCCCAGACGGACCAGGCTGTTCAAGAGCACCTGATAGAAAAATACATGCTGCTCCCCAATCAGGTGTGGGACAGCATCATCCAGCAGGCCACCAAGGTGAGACGCCAACATACTGAAACATGTTAAATATGCAAACAAAGAGCAGTGAGTTCATCTCTGATCTTCCTGCGGCTGCCTCAGAACGTGGACATCTTAAAGGACCCTGAGACTGTGAAACAGCTGGGCAGCATCCTGAAGACCAACGTCCGAGCCTGTAAGGCCGTGGGTCACCCCTTCGTCATCCAGCTGGGACGGATTTACCTGGACATGCTCAACGTCTACAAGTGCCTCAGCGAGAACATCTCTGCTGCCATTCAGACAAATGGTAAGGGAGGTGTGTGTGTTTGTGATCTTAACATTTACATTCATCTTATTGTTGTTCGCACCACAATGTCACATGAGTTGTCCCACACGTCCTGGAAAACCTGGAAATTTAGAGACTAGAAACGGACCTGCAGCAATCTTTTTTACGTCTAATGAACCGGAGACACTTCATCGTTAAACGGAGCCATAAGACTGGAGTTACAGTCAGTGTGAGGCCTACCAACACATTATATGACTGTTTGTGCTGTTAAAAAGAGTGGGAACCTGCCTTGTGTTTCTAGGACAGTTGTGTTAATAGTGGAAGTGCTGAGGCCTAACGTAAAGTGTTTGCTGTTCTTGCATTAGTGGAGGACTTGTTTTGGTTGTCCGATCTCTACGCTGCAGGGACTGTCGCTTCATTGTGGTGTAGGCATGCAGCTCTTTGTGTGAATCCAGCAAGGCCTCAGTGTGTTGCCAGGTTTAAAAAACACCCCGATGCTTTCATCACCGTGTCAATAGTTTGAGAGAGAGCTTGTAAAACACAAACTATGGGTTTGTCCTGCAGTTGTTTACAGAAGCATTTCACTATGAAGTCATTCAGTTGTGGGATTTTGTCTGCAGGCCAGTAAGAACAACCCTTTTTTTCCTTGCATGCGCCTGTTTTGGTGACTCACCTCTTTCTGCAGTTAAATGGGAGGAGTGGTGCCGTCTGAGCTCTGTCAGTAATGGTCAAGTATCAAGGACTTTTTTACCTGAGTCGACCAGGAAAGAAATAGCGATCTGTGCAGGAGGAGCAGATCCTCGTGACTCCGCTTGACTGGATCTATATTTTTATAGAAGAAGACACAAAGAATCAGACTGACGCAATAAAGTGAAAGCAGACGGCACCTGTAAAGAAACAGGAACAAGGTTGTTGCCCTGACAGTCTCACATGTCCGTGCCCTGTAGCAGAACTCTTACTGACATCCTCACATACAAAAGTGTGACAGTATTCTCTGCATGTAGTCGATCTGCGTCTTTAACTGCGTCTCCTCTTTGTGTTGCAGGTGAGATGGTGACGAAGCAGCCCTTGATCCGGAGCATGAGGACGGTGAAACGAGAGACACTGAAGCTGATCTCCGGCTGGGTCAGCCGATCAAACGACCCGCAGATGGTGAGAAATGTGGAGGCACAACGCTGCTGGAGATTGAGTTTCCCCAACTGTGGCTGTATTCTGGGGTTTAAATCTAAATACAATTGTATACACACCGCCTCAGAACATATCACAGCTCACACAGGAGGCAGCTTCATTCCTAATGAGATGTTTTGAGGTTCTGTACCAGACAAACATGTTTTCTTAAATGTGGAGAACAAGATTTGTAGACCGAAGTATCTCTGCAGAACTTCAGTCCTTCAAATTAAAGCTGTTTTTTTATCACAGAATTGAAAGCTTTTATCCCCAAAAAATTGGCAGGCCTTCTTGCCTAAATTTGAAATATTGCAGCAGTATACACTATCCATGCATGTTCTGGGGACCAGTGGTATATTTCAGTATACTTTAATAAAAACCTTCACGTGGCGGTGAGCGAGCAGCAGGGATATTTTTACTGTCCTCAGGAGATTCTACACACTGTGGCAATCAATGAAACGGTAGAACAGAAGTAGAACTAATCCAGTCGGTATTTTTAGATCAAACACAAAGATTTCATTTCCTCGCGGCAGACTTTACCCTCAGCTGGTTTTATCTGCGTAACAATGAATATTCATAGTGTGTCTGTGCAGGCGAGGACCGTCAGAGT